TTTCCCCTAAAAAATAACTCTAAAAAATAAAAACCTTTAAAATCAAAACTAACAAAACTAAATGAAATCAATAGTTAACTAGCCAAGTATTTAGAAGCAATTCAGTTGTAACGATGCATTCCCCTCGGTAATCCCGGCCGCCCCGGCCGCCGATCCGCCGGAAGTCCGCCGCCCGACGAACACCGGTCGGGCAAATGCGGAGGCGCCGAGCGCCCATTTTTAAATGTAACCGAAACGCGCGTTTATCAAACCGCTGTTTAGGCGCGCGTAAACATCCCGAATCGACGACGCGCTCGGGTAACCGACCCGACCGTTACCGAAGATACCCGAGTCGCGCGCGCCGGTTCGACGATGTTACCGTTATAAACAATAGGCAAATTACGCAGACGCGCGCGCCGCAAAATTAGTATAAACAGAGCGCGTTTTCAATTAACGAGACCAGACCTTTCCAATCTAGCAGAGTCAGTAAGACGTCTGAAACTTTCCGAAATCCTGCTAAAGCTACTAAGAGAAAGAACAACGGGGTTGGGCGTACTCAGCCTCCGCCGAGAGTTTGCGGCATCTGTACGAGCAATCCTGACAACCCCCGAAATCAAGAGGTATACGGGATCGGGCGTACTCGACCCAGCCGAGAGTTCTCGGCCCCTCGCTAGCTTTCCGTCCACCTTGTGCATCGGCAACCTTCTCGTGGCAAGGGAGTTCCTTACCACGGACAGGAGTTCTCGTCGGCCGACGCATCCCGCAATCCGCACCCGCGATCCCGATACGCGAATAAAATCTGACCGTAATACATCTCGACGGACCGACTGTTAGCCGCCATAATTAAGGCCGACGCGCCATTATTTCGGGAGCAATAAGTCCCGCGCCGAAGGACGACCCGCGTCCTGCCGCGACACCGATCCACGTACTGGATCGATAAGCGCGGATAAGGACCGCCCACCGGCGCACCCGAAAACTCACGATCCGACAGCTAACGGCATATAATACCCTTAATAAACTGTATAATAATGTAATTTGTGATATACAATATTCAAAATTGTTGAACTTATATTGAAAATCAGATTTCTGTTATTAAAAATAAAATGTGTTTTAATTTCATAGAAACCCGTGAATCTGTGAATCTGTCTATAACATTTCTATAAATACAAGATTGATTTTATGACAAATACTATTTCAAATTACAAATCTTTATAAACTGAATTGCTTCTAAATACTTGGCTAGTTAAATATTGATTTCATTTAGTGTTGATTTTTGATTTTTTAAAGGTTTTTATTTTTTAGAGTTATTTTTTAGAGAAAAATCTTTTTTTAAGTTTTTATTTTGTATGAAAATTATTTTTTCTGCAAAAAATGTATATGCGTTTTTAGCATTTCGAGGCCAACTGTACTTTTGTACTTTTGAATCATTTATTAATTGCCACTCGGTACCTTTAGCACGTACTATGTTTGTATAATGTCCATCAGTTGTACTTTTACCTTGATGAAAAATTCCACTAATAACTTTATATATATTTGCACCAATACATATCTTTTCTGTAGGTACACCTTTTATTTTTAAATCTGTTACTTTAATAATTTTTGTATCACTAATTTTAAATAATGATAACTGTAAGATAATAATACTTCCTGTTATTATTATATCAGTCTTTTCAAGTACAGAGACAGCATTACAATTGGTACATATTTTTTCAACATTATTCCAATGTGAAAAATTATATTGTATTAATTCTTGTAAAGTATATGACTTTTTTAAATTTTCGGGTAATTGAAGCAATAATATATAATTTGTATAAATTTTTGTGTTTGTATAGTTGCATACCTTACATCGTAAAGTTATGTTTAATTGGTGCTCGATTACACTCTTTATATTATCTATGTTATTAATAAGATGTATAATAAACTCACTAACATCTCGTTGAATCTTTTCAAGATATTGATCTCCTGCCAATTGGCGTATTGCCATTATATTAATAGTTTCATTGTTTGACATGTAACAATTAATAAATTTTCTTATAATATTCCTATGCTCAAGACGAAGCAACAATTTTCTGAGAATAGAAGAATGAAGTATACATTGAATTGAAACATTAGCATAGCAAGATATATTATCAACATTTGGAAGTCCTCTTATATGCCATAAAGTAGAATCATTAACATCCTTATCATTATTAACTTGACATTCCAAGATATTTTTTGATGATATTGCCCAAATTGTATCACGAATCTTGTGAACACGTTGTTTCAAAATATTAATATGTATAAGATCTGGCCTGTATTGTGTTCGCAATCTATTATATTCTATTATAGCTAACTCATTTGCTTTTACAGAAGAGGGATCAAAATTTATAAGGTGCAATCCACTCAGGGTAGTCACTCGTGAAAGAGCGACATATACTTGTCCACAACAGAATATAGAATTTCCAGCTTCCACAATAGCATGTTTTAAACTCAGGCCTTGACTTTTATGAATAGTCATACCATAACTTAGACATATAGGAAATTGTTTTCTTATAACAAATGCTCTATCCATTACTTCAAACTTGACATTTAAACGTTCTATAATATGCTCTATTCCTGATGACACTATTATCTTAATTTTTTCTACTTCATTGTCAATTGCGCTACGTATAATTGATGTAATTGTACCAATCGTACCATTTACAAGACCTAAACTAACATCGATATTTCTTCTAACTATTATACGTGCTCCTAATTTGACACTTATGATTCTTGCTAATCCAGCTGTTCGAGAACCATCTTCATCATCTTTATTTAATATCTTCATAACTTTTTTCTTTAAATGTGGTGCACATTCTGCCAGATCTTGAGCAACGAGTTCTACCTTATCCGAAGAAATACGATTTAACATTGCAGTATTCAAAATATCACATAATGCACAAGTTGGAAGTAAGCAAACAGTATCCATTGGTAAATTTTGTAAATAATTACATAATTCTTGTAATCGGTCGTCACAATTAATTTCTCTAAAATTGATTTTCCTCGTTTCTAAAATAGTTACGTCCGAATCTGTAATTGTTCCAATTCGAATTCTCGTTAATATATCTCGATAAAAATTATCACTTTGTTGTCGTACATTAATTTGTAATTCATCATAACTAAATAAAGACCATAAATTTATAGAACCCATTGCACCAATGTATTTCTCAATTTTTAATTTTGATAATTCAATAAAAGGCGGATCTTCATGCACAGGTGGAAGTTGCAATAAATCTCCAAAAAGAAGTATATGTTTTTTGCCGAACCATCCATTATCGCAATCCATGGTATTAAATATCTCTGTTAATCGAAGATGTATGTACATTAAAGTGATATTTGAAATCATTGAAACTTCATCAAAAATTATTAAAACAACATTCTTAAGTTCCTCTCGTATAATTTTAAGGACTACAGATACATCAGAAAGTTGTTTATATTTGGCAGTACGGCCGTGTTCTACCGGTAATTGAAATAATCTATGAATAGTAAGTCCATCAATATTAAAAGCTGCTATACCGGTTGGTACAGTTACCGCTGTGTCTTTCTCAATATATTTTTTAATCCAACATCTAATAGTTTTTATCAAAAAACTCTTTCCAGTACCACCTTCACCGCTTACATAAAGTCTAAGAACTTCACTATTATCATCAGATATACCAGCAGTAATTCTATCAAAGATTCGTTTTTGATCAATATTTAATTGCGTCACCATTTCATCGACATTAATTTCAAATTTATTGCCAACATCTTTAAAGTCCCTCATAGCTCCTTCAACTTCGACAGGAACACATTCTAATGCACCATTTTCAAGACAGTCATTTTCATCTTCATTTTTTGTAATTTCTGATATTTTTTTTTCAATTAATTCTTTAATATTATCCATACCTTGCTGAATGTCGGTTATTTTTTCATGATACTGAAGAGCATCTTTCAATTTATATTGTATTAAAGAAAATGCTTCTGCATAATTATCACATTCATTCTTTAATTCACTAATATCTCTCCAAGATTGAAATAATAACAATAATGAAAAATAGTAACGCTCTGGTTGAGTATGGACATTATATTTGTAATGATTGATAAGATATCCACGTTTACGTTTCTTTAAATATAAAGATTCACCAAGCACGTAATATTTTATTGTCTTAGAAATTGGTTTAGTTTTCGTAATATCATACCATTTTGCATAATCATACAAATTAGTAGATTCTAGTTCTTTAGGTCTGCTTGGATAATATGTATCAATTAGAGAAGGACAAAAAATATCCATAGATTCAGAAAAAAGCATTTCAATCTTTTTGCGAGATTTAAGTCGTCTACTTCTAATCATATTTACATCTAACCATCTTATAGTCGTTTCTTTGTCAGTACCATATAATGGTATTCCTAATAAAGTGTCAGCAGCTTCGAGAGCTCCACATTCCCTATGATTCAACATACGCATTCCAATATTCCAAAGACAACTTCTCAACGATTTTGTTGAATTTATCTTTTCAAATGTATCTTCTGCGTTATTACTCTTTTCTGCTTTGGAAACATATTTCGTAGTATACCAAGTTAATAACGTAGATTTTTCACCTACAAATTGAATATCCATGTTTCCTTCCCAAGCAGTAAGAATAGCTGGATTATAATCATTAATATTGACTTCCTCTTTAGATCGTGGCAAATCGTAGAGTCTGCTTTTTGTTTTCAATTTTCTTCTATCCGCTATTGAAACAGCAACGTCTTTAATTTTCAAAGTATCTGTTACGGATCGTGAAAAGCCAAACCTGCATA